GCTGAAAACACCTAAAGCCATCTGGTTTGGTGGTTTGCATGCAATCTCTTGTAGCCACAGAAACTTTTCTTCAAACAGCAGAGCCTAGTATGTCAAACTCATACAAGCATAGTTGCTTTCTTGGAATTGCAGTGGGGAGAAGAATAAAGCCCCACAAACTGCCTTCCCCATGGCTTCTGAATAGAGCTGGACACTATATTCTTTTCCTTGGTTGGGTATTACCTCACCTGGAAAACCTGGCAAAAGAAATGAAGAAATTTTCTGCTACCTGGGGCAGGGCAGAGAGAAGCAATGTCCTGAAACTTTAATTCTACCCTGATAAAATGTGCCATCATATTATAAATTGGGCAACATATTATAAATTTGGCAACATATTATAAAGTGGAGATTGCAATTGTCAGAAACGTAGCATAACTGTCAACAGCATACTAAACTATATGATACTGAAATGTGAGTTACACTTCTAGTTGTCTAGTTCTGGTATAAGAAATGCAAGTTCTTTACCAACACTCAACCCACAGAATACAATGGACTCTTAACATGTCCTGCCCTTACTCCCATACACAACTTTCAGCCTCATACACTTATGAATAAAACAAATACTCCATAGGGCAGTAGGCATAAGCAGAATGCTAGGTTTGAAAAGCAAATCATATCTACTGTTTAAGGTCATATGTTGACACTAGAATGAAGAATAAGTCATTACAAAGCATTTTTCTCACCTGCGGTTCTAATTGCTACAGGTGTTTGCTGAGGGTTGAATAAAGAGCATGCAGCTCAGACACTCTGTTGATATGGTACACATTCCTCTTAAGTTTAGGACTAAATCCCAGCCAGTACAGGGACTCAGACTCATCTATCAAAGTCCGGTGTGCACATTACGAAAAAAACCTAAGAAAGATCATGTGCATTTAACACCTTTCCCTCTAGCCATTCCAAGGAGCTTCACATTGCAGCCCTTTTTCACCTTTGTTAGGCACACCAAGTGGCCTGGAAGATGCTGAGAACAAAGAGGCTTTCTTCCTTGGGTTACCGGTTGAAATTCATCATCAGTTCAGCCCAGCTGAATCAATGGTGAGGGCAGCTCGCAGACCCAACTCACGTGGGGGAGAGTCAAGGCCTCCTTACATCACTGTACCGGGACTCCTTCAGGCACTAGCTCTCCCACAGCTCCTGTGCCGCCCAGAGGAGTATAAAGACCTGTGACAGAATGTAGGACACCGCCTAGAGCACAGCATTTGTGCCACGGTCTGAGAACTGCAAACTAGAGTTGCCAACATTTGGAGACATTAGGAAGGTTAAATGTGAAATGTTGTAGATAAATGTTGTGGATAAATGCCCAGGATGTACAGCCCTTCAACATTTCAATTAACATAGACTATCATCACATAAAGCAGGGGTGCGGAGACCGGAAAACCGTGCTGTTTTATTTTAATTTTCTAACAACATCCACGGAGCACTGACTCTGTGACTGGCACAGAACTAAGCTCCTGACACAGATTATCTCTTTAACTCCTCACAAGACCCTTTGGTAAGTACCATTTTAACCCAGTTTTACAAATGAGGAAACCCCTGGAGCTTAGGTTAAGTAGCTGGTCCAAGGGCCCAGAGCTGACAAGCGGCGGCCAAATGTGAACCCAGCTGGGTAGAACTGTGCTGTACTTCCTGTGCTTGAAATTTAATGCAGATGCCAGCATCCTCAATTAATGGAATAATTGTGAAGCTAAAAGAAAATCAACATTTAAAACAGTGCCTTCCGCATAGTAATGGACATTGCTCATGCTTAAGTGTCCAGTATTAAGGAAACAAATATTATTTAGCTTTTTTTGGTGAAGGACACAATCATACAATATATACAAATATCTAATATTAGCTGGTTGCAGACAGTCTAAAATGATCACTGCAGCTAAAAAAAAAAAAAACTCAGAAATGTTTCTGAGAATCAGAGGAGTGTGAATAAACAACACTAGTCTACCAAAGCAATATAATAAAAAATTGTTAAAATAAAAAAAAAACCCCCTCAAGTAGTTATAATACAGATAAGTGTAGTCTTTGGAAATGATTTAAAATTTCATTTCGATGTCTAAATTATAAAGCCTCAAATTAATCATTATAAGTTGTTTTAATAAAGTTGAAAGTTTAGCACCTAGTGAAGTAACTTATGCATAGTAGGTTTCCAATAAATGATTCTGGAATGAATGACTAAATTCATAAAGGCACTTCTGAAAACAGACAGACATTGTCCTTTCCTTGTGTTTGGATTTTTTTTTTTAATTCCATGATAAAGGCTGCATGACATTTCCTTATTAGTAATTTTTATAAAGGAATCCCAGTATCTCTGGTTCAAACAAAGGAAATAACTATCACATTGAAAGACAAAAAGAAATAACTGGCTAAAATAATTAAAAATGGAAGTGTTTGTCTTTACAGTGAAATATGGGGATAAAAAAAGTAGCAGCTTCTTCAAAATATCTTTATTAACATTTGAGAAAATATAAAATGATTCTCTAGGCAACAGCATGAAAACACATGAAATAAGTGGGTACATTTAAGCCACTGTGACTGGTGAAGAAGACATTTCCCCATACATATAATTAATATAAACAGGTAAATTCAGACCAATAAAACACCTCTTTCTCAAAAGCATTTTAGTGCCCTGTGTTACACTGGAGACTCGGTAGTTGAACAAATATGTGCTCAAAAGTAACTATTCATTCTTTAACAGTACTTAAAACTAATATGAACATAAAAACACAAATTACTCCATTAGTTCCATAAGGTAAAATATTAGGTTAAAACTATAATGGCCAAACTGTTTAGTAAACCTCTGTCCTATTTCAAAGGTAAATAGATAAATAAGAGACAGGTCTATGGAAAATAAAGAAGATGTCTAGCAACACTTTTTACATCATTTCAACAGAACCAAGAGCAAATCTAAGGTTCCCCAAGCATTTCCCACTTATTAGGGAAATCGATAGCATTACCTGCGGGGTGCCTGCGGTTGCTTTTGCATAAGGCTTTTATCTCATTTTAGCAACATTTAAAAAATGCAGGATGCCTATAACCTTGGCACTCAACATTACGCTGGCATCTTTAGTACAATTTGCTAATAGAGTGAAAGCACTGTGGTTCAGTTTGGGAAGCTTCTTCACAAGGTTCTGCCAAACTGCAAAGGGGATGGAACAAATAAATAGGCTGACTGTGCGTACATCAGAAAAAGCAGACCCTTAAAATAAAAAAGGGAGCTATTCATTATTTCAAAAACACATTATTTTACAAAAGAAGAAAATTGAGGGGATAATATTTTCAAAAACATAAGAACTATAAAATAATCTAAATTGAATTTCATTTGTCCTGTCTAAACCCATCCTACACCGATACATCATTTCTATAGACAAAGCGGGTCAGATGTGTTAGAATAACATATATACATATAAAACATACCAAGCCATGGATTTAATTTTCATAATAACTATCTCATTTGCCTAAATGTTTGGTACTAAGTGGTAGAAACAGAAAACAAAATATTCACACCTGAGAAGATTACATATTAAACCGCCCGAGGTTTTAGCCTCATACTTGCTGGAAGAGATCTGCAAGGAATGAAACCTGGATGCCTGCGGATTCCACGTGTGACAAAGCATTTTTTGAAAAAGCATTCAGAAGGCTTGCTTTCGACTACGCAAAACAAAGCATACATTTTAAAGGCCAAACGTCAGTCAGTAAAACTCAATTCCCGTAGTTCTCCTGGTTCCAATGATCTTGAAGAGCATAGGTACCTGACTCAATTTATGCCACTTTTTATGCTTAAAAATATAAACATTTTTTCACATTTACAAAATATGCCCGATATATATTACTTGAGACTAATCTTAGCCATCAGAGCTGCCTTTTGTTTTCAGCTTTGTATTTCTGAGAAACTAATGAATCTATGGTGCAGATACAGCCAAAGTGGAAATAAATTCATAGTCTGGGGCAGCACTATAATTGGGACACAGTAATCTTACGATGAAAAGAAACAGTACACTAGCACTATAAAGGGAAACGAGTTGCAAAGTATTTTCCAGAGTCTGATTAGTTTTTTGTTTAAACTTTTCTATTTTTTTCATTGTTTTAAAATGCATTTGCTACTTAGGAGAAAAAGGAAGACATGGTTATGGTGTGAATCTTGAAAGATTCCCAAAGCTAGAAAGATCTATACAGAAGTCTCTCATTTTCCAACTTCTATTATAAAGTTCCTGCACTTGTACTTCGAAAAAAAAACAAACCTGGAAGGAAGCTCTACCTAGTTTACTTTCTGAGTTCGGATTTCCGCCTCTATCAGATAAGTTCTTTCTAGTGCTCTTTGCCCCTCACATCTCCAGAGAAACACGCACATTTTTGCAAACACACACGATGTATCGATCACCGCACACACAGGTTCATCAACACCATGACAGAGGCGACACTTCACAATATGATAACCGGAACAGAGGACGATGACAGTGAGAAATGGGTTTCTTTTACAGCCCGCTTGGATCCCTAATGCCCTTATTTCTACACAACCCAGCCTCAGCCAGGAACTTTAATGGATCAGAAAGACAAAACAGGTTGCATGAAAGGAAGAGAAAGAAAACCGAATGCCCGCTTTTCGAGAGCACTGCAAAATTAGCCCCGGGACCCGGCTGCGCAAAAGTGCAGCGCTAAAGAATGCCAGCCCATATGCTAGACACCCAAGTAAAGCCTCCTGCAATCCAGAGAAGTAAATAATAAATAATAGTGGTCATTGCCATTAAGCATAAGAATAGTAATAACAATTGTCACCACGGCGTTCCGTACAGCAGCTGCACGTGGAGCCGGCTTCTCCTCCGGCCCCCACGGCCCGCAGCCTCCCCTGCAGCCCCACAGGGCGGCTGAGTAAGGCGAGAGGACTCCGCGCGCGCCGCGCACTGGGCTGGGCGGGCCCCTCCCCTCCCGGTGCCCGCCCCGCCGGTCCCGCCCCCGCGCCTGCGCGTCAAGTGGCTGGGCTGGCTTAGCGGATCCCGGTTGCTAGGGTGTGTCTCCTTGGCCTCCTAGAGGGTGGGGATCCGTGGTGCTTCTTCGGGAACAGCCTCCTGCAGGAAGACCCGCCACCTCGCTGGACCTTTACCTCGCTGCCTAGATTCCGAGGAATAGGAGATAGGAGACGAAAAGCCAGTTGGTTTGGGAAGCGGCTGATTATCCTAAAGAGTAGTGTGGGAGTCCAGCACTTCCGTGCACCTCTTTGGGTACTACGGAAGGGAGTTTTCCAGCATCGAGTGGAATATATGACCAGGGAGTACACCTTGAGCGCTTGTGTGCAGTTATCTTTTGGCGGTAAACGGCCCATTTGTGCAGTTCCAGGGTGTTCCCTTCTAGGCTATCAATGGAGTAGTGCCATGCCAGGAACTTTTGATGTTGCCCTGCAAACTAAAAGCACATTTTGGGGGTGCATCTTCTGGCATCATTTCTAAACAGCATGAATTGGGATCCAGCAGCCCTGGGAAACCTCATTATAGTGAAACCTATCTTATTTTAGGATTGAATGGTTTTGGCCCAAGCATAGTGGTTGAAAAACAAGCCATTACAGAAAGAAGACAATTTGTTTGTGAATGGTTAGATATGGTGGGTCTTCAGAGGCTTAGCTAATGAAGAGATCGTCTACACATTTCTGACCAAATTCTTTCTACATTTATAGTGATAACATTTCGGAGGGAGAGAAAAAAATGTCATTTCGACTATTCTGAAAAATCAGTATTTACTAGTTGAAACAGCATTGGCAAATTGAACTACGTACTAGCATGGAAAATTGTAGAAGGATCCTGGGTAGTAATAATACACATATTTTTAAAATTATATGTTTACTTATAACCCTACATTTTAACTGGATTCTTTCTATTAATATAAGTTTTAAAGAATTATTTTCTTACCCTCTTTTTTTTTCATAAAGGAATTCTGCTTGGATTCAGTAGAATATTGCAACAGAATGATTTTCATTAAGATGTAATCTAAATTCTTATTTTTCAACAATTCAAACATATTCAAAACCTTTTCAATTCTCACTTACACCAAGGATTATGAAAAACAGCACTTACTATTCATTAAAATGCGAAAGCCCCCACTACTTCTTCGAAGACCCTTACCTCCAAAATTCACTAAGCCGTCTTTACACGAGATAAAAACCCGTACAGGTATGTGTATTAATCAGATATGTGTATTAACATTTATGTATCTTTCATAGAAATTCCTTGACTTGCACAGCTCAGAATCGCAATAAATACACTCACTAATAACTTATAAATGTTTGTTGTCAGATGAAAGCATCCAATTCAAGCCTACAGATGCATCTATTGATACTTATTGGTGGACTTAGTAGGTTCAAGTTTACCTCATCGATAAAATTTACTTCTAACCCCAGAATTGGTACTCATAGGGCTTTCTCAGTCGTGCGTGGATGTGTGCAGAGCACTGAAAAATTTGAGTCACTCAACACCCATGCCCCCATCTGAGGTGGAACAAAGCTACCTCTGCCTTCTTGTTTCAGCTCTCATGTTGTAAACAGGTACTGTGTTCCCTGTCTGTTTAGCGCTATGTTTCTTGAATGTTTTGTGCTTTTAGTGATTTCACTGTGGGCCCCAAGCATAGTGCTGAAGTACTGTCTAGTGTTCCTGAGCACAAGAAGGCTGTGATGGGCCTTACAGAGAACAAGATATGTGTTAGATAAGCTTCCTTCAGGCATGAGTAATGTTGTTGGCCCTGAGTTCAATGTTAACAAATCAACTGTATATATTTATTAAAGTGTCTTTAAATAGAAACAAATATAAAACAAAATTACATGTTGATCAATTGATGAAAATGTTGAAACCAGAAGTTTGTAGGAACCTAGCCCCATATTTCTCCTAGGAGAAATGGTTGAGTAATGAGTAATTCATTGTTTGCAGAACAGAACTACCACAAATAACGAGGACTGAATATATTTAGTGAGCAAAAACGGACCTTACCAGTTCCCTTCATTAGTTACCCACTGGGATAGTGATTGTAATCAATCAATCATATAAGTAAATGTAAAATTACCCTGTGATAAGTGCTATGAAGTAAATATGAGTCGCTTTTCTAACTATAACTTTATATAATACTTAATCCTCTATTTCTGTGTATAGTTTCTATTCCCTCCTTATTATAAGCAATACAATTAGCATATTTTCTCATTTTCCCCTTCTTAGTCTCCTCTTCCATCTGATTTTAGTTGATTGCAGTTTTAGTGTCAACATTTATACTGTTCAAATATACCTAGTCTATAACTTGATTTATAATGTTAAATTATCAAAAATCTTTTGACCTATGGCTATTAACAATATGTAACTCAACTTACCTGTAATACTGCCACAATTTCCTCTCTTACTTTCTCTCCCAACTTTTGTTACATGATTTCTACATCATCATTTCTACATTTCTAGAATGTTCTGCATTTACAATCTGCTCTGTAATAATACAGTATGTAGATTTACAGCTCAAGATTACCAGTTATCTTGTAGTTTCTCTATTCATCTTTTGTTTAAAGTTTATCTTCTAGTACAGAATTTCACAACCTTGGCACTATGGACATTTTGGGCTGGATGGTTCCTTATTTGGTGGGGAAAGCAGAGCTCTCTTGCTCCAAAGGCTCTTGACAAAGGGCTTTGCACATAGTAAGTGCTCGAAATTTTTTTTTTTATTTATTCTAAAAAACAAAAACAAAAACAAAAAAAAACAGGATACATGTGCAGAACGTGCAGGTTTGTTACATAGGTATACGTATGCCATGGTGGTTTGCTGTACCTATTTACCCATCCTCTAAGTTTTCCCCCCTCACTCTCCACCCCCTAACAGGCCCTGGTGTGTGTTGTTCACCTCTCTGTGTCCCTGTGTTCTCAATGTTCAACTCCCACTTATGAGTAAGAACACACGGTGTTTGGTTTTCTGTTCCTGTGTTAGTTTGCTGAGGATGATGGCTTTCAGTTTCATCCATGTCCCTGCAAAGTACACGATCTCATTTCTTTTTATGGCTGCATAGTATTCCATGATGTATATGTACCACATTTTCTTTATCCAGTCTGTCATTGACAGGCATTTGGGTTGGTTCCATGTCTTTGCTATTGTGAACAGTGCTGCAATAAACATACATGTGCATGTGTCTTTACAGTAGTCTGATTTATATTCCTTTGGGAATATACCTACTAATGGGATTGCTGGGTCAAATGGTATTTCTGGTTCTAGATCCTTGAGGAATCTTTATACTGTCTTCCACAATGGTTGAACTAATTTACATTCCCACCAACAGTGTAAAAGTGTTCCTATTTCTCCACAGTCTTGCCAGCATCTATTGTTTCCTGACATTTTAATAATCACCATTCTGACTGGCGTGAGATGGTATGCCATTGTGGTTTTGATTTGCATTTCTCAGATGATTAGTGATGTTAAGCTTTTTTCTATATGTTTGTTGGCCACATAAATGTCTTTTTTTAAGAAGTGTCTGTTCATATCCTTCACCCACTTTTTGATGGGGTTGTTTTTTTCTTGTAAATATGTTTAAGTTCCTTGTAAATTCTGGATATTAGACCTTTTTCAGATGGGTAGATAGCAAAAATTTTCTCTCATTCTGTAGGCTGCCTGTTCACTCTGATGATAGTTTCTTTTGCAGTGCGGAAGCTCTTTAGTTTAACTAGATCCCATTTGTCAATTTTGGCTTTTGTTACCACTGCTTTTGGCATTATTGTCATGAAGTCTTTGACCATGCCTGTGTCCTGAATGGTATTGCCTAGGTTTTCTTCTAAGGTTTTTATGGTTTTAGGTCTTACATTGAAGTCTTTAATCCATCTTGAGTTAATTTTTGTATAAGGTGCAAGGAAGGGGTCCAGTTTCAGTTTTCTGTGTATGGCTAGCCAGTTTTCCCAGCACCATTTACTGAACAGGACATCTTTTCCCGATTGCTTGTTTTTGTCAGGTTTGTCGAAGATCAGGTGGTTGTAGATGTGTGGCATTATTTCTGAGGTCTCTGTTCTGCTCCATTGGTCTATATGTCTGTTTTGGTAACAGTAACATGCTGTTTTGATTATTGTAGCCTTGTAGTATAGTTTGAAGTCAGATAGGGTGATGCCTCCAGCTTCATTCTCTTTGCTTAGGATTGTCTTGGCTATATTGGCTCTTTTTTGGTTCCATATGAAATTTAAAGTAGTTTTTTCTAATTCTGGGAAGACAGCCAGTGGTAGCTTGATGAGGATAGCACTGAATCTATATATTACTTTGGGCAATATGGCCATTTTCATGATGTTGATTCTTCCTGTCCATGAGCATGGAACGTTTTTCCATTTGGTTGTGTCCTCTCTTATTTCCTTGAGCAGTGGTTTGTAATTCTCTTTGAAGAGGTCCTTAATATCCCTTGTAAGTTGGATTCCTAGGTATTTTATTCTCTTTGTAGCAGTTGTAAATGGGAGTTCACTCATGATTTGGCTCTCTGTTTGTCTGTTATTGGTGTATATGAATGCCTATGATTTTTGCTTATTGGTTTTGTATCCTGAGACTTTGCTGAAGTTGCTTATCAGCTTAAGGAGACTTCGGGCTGAGACGATGGGATTTTCTAAATATACAATCATGTCATCTGCAAAAAGAGACAATTTGACTTCCTCTTTTCCTATTTGAATACCCTTTATTGCCTTCTCTTGCCTGATTGTGCTGGCCAGAACTTCCAATATCAGGTTGAACAGGAGTGGTGCGAGAAGGCATCCTTGTTTTGTGCTGGTTTTCAAACGGAATGCTTCCAGCTTTTGCCCGTTCAGTATGATATTGGCTGTGGGTTTGTCATAAATAGCTCTTATTATTTTGAGATATAGTCCATCAATACCTAGTTTATTGAGAGTTTTTAGCATGAAAAGATGTTGAAATTTATCAAAGGCCTTTTCTGCATCTATTGAGATAATTATGTGGTTTTTGTCATTGGTGCTGTTTATGTGATAGATTATGTTTATTGATTTGCATATGTTGAACCAGCCTTGCATCCCAAGGATGAAACCGACTTGATCGTGGTGGATAAGCTTTTTGACATGCTGCTGGATTCGGTTCACCAGTATTTTATTAAGGATTTTCACACCGATCTTCATCAGGGATATTGGCCTGACATTTTCCTTTTTTTGTTGTGTCTCTGCCAGGTTTTGGTATCAGGATGATGCTAGCCTTATAAAATGAGTTAGGGAGGAGTCCCCCTTTTTCTGTTGTTTGGAATAGTTTCAGAAGGAATCATACCAGCTCCTCTTTGTACCTCTGGTAGAATTCGGGTGTGAATCTGTCTGGTCCTGGGCTTTCTTTGGTTGGTAGGCTATTAATTACTGCCTCAATTTCAGAACTTGTTACTGGTCTATTCAGGCACTCGACTTCTTCCTGGTTTCATCTTGGGAGGGTGTATGTGTCCAGGAATTTATCCATTTCTTCTAGATTTTCTAGTTTATTTACGTAGAGGTGTTTATAGTATTCTCTGATGGTAGTTTGTATTTGTGTGGGATCAGTGTTTTTATTCTGTCTCTTTGATTCTTCTCTCTTTTCTTCTTTATTAGTCTGGCTAGTAGTCTATCTATTTTGTTAATCTTTTCAAAAACCCAGCTCCTGGATTCATTGATTTTTTTGAAGGGTTTTTCATGTCTCTGACTCCTTCGGTTCTGCTCTGATCTTAGTTATTTCTTGTCTTCTGCTAGCTTTTGAATTTGTTTGCTCTTGCTTCTCTAGTTCTTTCAATTGTGATGTTAGGGTGTTAATTTTACATCTTTCCCACTTTCTCCTGTGGGCATAGTGCTGTAAATTTCCCTCTACACGCTGCCTTAGCTGTGTCCCAGAGATTTGGGTACGTTGTGTCTTTGTTTTTATTGGTTTCAAATGACTTATTTATTTCTGCCTTAATTTCGTTATTTACCCAGTAGTCATTCAGGAGCAGATTGTTTGGTTTCCATGTAGTTGTGCAGTTTTGAGTGAGTTTCATAATCCTGAATTCTAATTTGATTGCAGTGTGGCCTGAGAGACAGTTTGTTTTGATTTCCGTTCTTTTGCATTTTCTGAGGAGTGTTTTACTTCCAATTATGTGGTCAATTTTAGAATAAGTGCAATGTGGTGCTGAGAAGAATGTATATTCTGTTGATTTGGGGTGGAGAGTTCTGTAGACGTCTAT